GTTAGAAATGTGGCCTATTGTGGCTGATGATGGATTCACAAGGGTTTCTTCTAGTTTATGGTCTTTTCCATTTATTGTTTTAAGTATCAATTCTGTCAAAGTTTGTAGTAGATCTTTACACTCTGCTAAAAAGGATTTCATCATGGATATGTCTTGCGTCCATGAATGAGCTAGACTATTTAAATTCTGTTGTTGTTTGCTAAAAATGTCTGTTAATGTTAGCAGACCTAATCTTAATGATTCATTAGTGTTTCCAGTTGTAAAACCTGGAGTTGGGGAGTCATTTATATCTTCAGTCTCCTCACCTCCCTGTGCCAATTCCTCTCTGTGGGAGTATAATTCGTTGATGACATGTAAGTTTGTTGATCCAAAAGGGCATATTCTTTGGCTAGGTCTACTCCAGTTTCAACTGGCTCTGTTGTAAACATACAATGAGGTCCTAAAGACCAGTCATGAATTGGCTCTACTATAGGACTGTCATTTGGGGTAGTTAAGCCGTTGTCTAACGTAGGGTTAAGAGAGGGCCTTATTGGGGGGAAAAAGTCTGTGATCTTAGCTTGACTGCCTCCCTCTTTGCAACCTTCTGTGGCTCGAGTTTCTGGCTCTAATCCTAGTTGACGATAGCCGCCTCTTGTCGATAGCCGCCTCTTGTAAGTACCATTTTAATATTTAGCAGACAGTAATAATAGTCCTCCTTCTTATTTTCTCAATCATTCTTCCATCCTCCTGTAGTGAGTATTCTTAACTTTACTAATTATTTATCTGTGTTATAGTTGGGACAGCTAAAATAAGGTTTATGGGATAGGATGCTTTGAACTCTACTTTTAGTTTACATTCTTTGTTATCAGCATACCACTCTTTTACAAAAACTTGACTTGTCTCAATGAAGCCACAACCGATATTAACGCTGTATACTTCATTTAAGCTCCTTCCCAATGTTTATAAAATAGAATTAAAATTTATCAGGTGGTGCTCACGTACATGCAGGCTTCTGTGTGGCCATCTCACCAGAAGTCCTGCTCTTTCATCAGTCCCCAGGAAGATTAAGACCACTTCACAAGTTCACCAGGGAGGCAGCACTTAACGACCCACCTGGGGATGAGTGAGGGATTAGATCCACATTCCAAAGACTCTACTATCACATCTCCTATTGTCCCTTCAAG